GCTCTCGGGGCCCGTGAAAGGTGCTCGAGCGAGGAGCTGGTTCAATTCTGGGGTTTTGTTGTTTTTGCTGGCTTTTTTTCTTGTTTTATTTATTTAATTTTTAATTTTTATTTTTTTTTGAGCCACTTCTTATCGAGGTTAAAAATAGCATCTCCCCGGGAGCGGGGCCTCTCCAGCCCCTCGGGGATGCGGCTGCTCGGGAGGCAGGGCGATTTTAGGAGTTCCTCTTAAAGCAGGGTTCGCTCCTGCAAGGAGCATCTCTACAGCCCCGTCAAAAACCTCATGGCGCTGGCTTCAGAATAAAGATGCTGAAAAGAAATGTTTTCTCGGGATCCTTTCCCTGCCTTGGCCAGAGGAGCCTCGCAGTGGCCAAAGCTCATTTGCGGTTTGGGAAGTTTCCTCCGAGGGAGGTAAAATAAGTTTTAGTCGTGTTCAGTTTTGCCATCCTGGGTGTTTGGAGCTACAGGAGAGCTGTACAATCCGCAGGGCTGTGTTTCCCTGGCCGAGGTGATAAGGGCTCTGCACAGCTGACTGTCCTGAGAATAAATGGTCCAAAATTCATGGAAACCAAGGCTTGGCATCGGTGGCGTTGCTCAGTGGGGTTGAGTAGAGAAATGCTTGGGAAAAGCCAAACTTTTCCCGTTTTTCATTGCGGAGGCGCCGCTTGCAGAGAGAGAACACCGGCGTGACTTAGCGAGCTGTCCTTTGGGGCTTGCTGCTAATTTTGGACTTCCCAGCGTTTTGACGCTGCGGTTTGCAGGGAAAGCTGAGCTCTCCCGAGGTTTTCCCACGGGCAGCTGCCGGTGTTGGGTGTGCTGGAGCCTCGGGGTGCCTGGCAAAGGATGCTGCAAAGGATGTTGTTACTTCCCATTCCCCCTCCAGAAAGTTATTTCCAATATTGCTGTTTCCAGTCGTGCCCTTATCTTGGATTTTGTTTTGGAATCTTTTCATTTGGGAAAGAAATCAATGCAATTTGTGTTTTCCCTTCGTGAGTTCACGTGAGTTTCCTTCCTCTCTGAACCTTTCCTGGCCAAAATACAGCGTGGATTTCAAAACGAGCAGCGCTGTGAGGCTGTGGATTTTTGTTTGAACCACGAGCAATCTCTGCTGGGTTGAGTTTGTCCGGGGTGCAGATGTGCCCGGTGCTGCTCCCCGGTGTCCCGAGGTGTCCCAGACACGAGTTCCCACTGATGTTTGTCCCCGTTCCCTCCCTCCTCCCCGGCTGCAGCGCTGGCATTTGTTTCGGTGGGGTGTCTGGACTGTGTTTTGCTCCGCTGCTATTCTGGGTTTATTTATTGTCAAGCATGTTTCCTTAACGAGGGAGAGAATCCCGGCAGCGCTGGGGAAGGTGGTGGAGTGTGGGGGGATCCAGGGTCACTGTGGGAACAGATCCATCACCTCCTGCCTGCCAGGGATGCTGGGGGAGCTTTGGACCCAATCCTGCCCAGCAGAGCTTTCCTCCTCCAGCAGATTCACCTCCAGGCTTTCCCTTTAAAAAAAATACAATAAAATAGGAAGAGATCCAGACTTGGAACTGTTGAGCTGGGGATTTGATTGAGGGGGGATTTGAGGGCTGGAGCACAGTGATGGAGGGAGGAGAGAAGAGGGTTTGGTGATGCCAGAGCATCACAGCCGTGGTTAACAGGATCACGGAATCCCAGGTGCTTTGGCTTGGAAGGAACCTTGTAAACCATCCCATTCCAACCCCCATGGGCAGGGACACCTTCCACTATCCCAGGGTGCTCCAAGGCAGCTCGAAATGGAAAAAGGACAAGCAGTAGGGTGAAAAACCTGGAATGCAGAGCTCGCTTGGTAACACAAAAACATCACATTCTGTTAAAGTTCATGGAAGTCAGCAGTTTTTAAGGTGAAATGGCTGGAACCCCTGTGTGAGGTGGTTTTGTAACCTCCAGCTGACTGAAAGAGCAGGTTGTCTGGTGGGGATTTAGCTCGGGCAATAAATGCTATGTCAAGATTTCTTAATCTCTTGGAAAATCAGATAAGGGCTTGAGGCAAGATAACGAAGGATTTGCAAAGTTGCGTGTTTGGCACTAAACCCATGTCACAACTCCAGTGGTCTTTATTTGGCTTTTGAAATAAAAATGTTAATGGCTCACAAAAAAACCCAAAACCTGCAGATGGATCTTTCTCCTTTTCCTTTCAGTGGCTCCACTGGCCACGTTTCCCTCTCTGCTCCCAAGCAGCCCCACTCCTGCTGCTTCTGCTACTGGAGACTCTTCATCTGGGTCATCAAACAGGAGCTTGAACAGCCAGGCATCGAGGAATAAAATATAATTAAACTGGCTGTATTTTTCTTTTGCATGCCAGGAGGTAATTCAGGTTGAAGGCTTGTTTTAAATGCAGAGCCTGGAGGTACTAACAGCTGTCAAGGACTTTTTGGCGTGTGCTCAGCGAGTGTTTGCTGCTCTCCAGACACCGCCACGCGTTCCAAGTCGGGAGCTTTAATGAAAGCCAAGCGTTTTTAGCAGCTTGGAGGACCAGGCTTGGAGGGGAAAATGCTCCCTGGGAGATATCACCCTCACAGGGACCCCCTTGCTGCTCCTGGGGTCCCCAGGGTGCAGAGAATCATTGAGTTACAGCCACAGCCACTCTGGTGCTCTTCAACTTCCCTGCTCCTCGTGTTTTCCAGGAATTTCTACTTAGTGTTTGACTTCTTGCAGCACAAAAAAGGGGAGAATTTGCACAGGCATGGGATGAAATGTTCCCCTCCTCTCCCAGCTGGCAAACCCCTCTCTGGTCTTTTATTCAGTGAGATATGTGAGGTTTATTTTGCAGGGTTCTTCACCAGGGTGGGGAAGAATTGGGAAGGTTTTTCTGGCTCAGAGGGACTCTGCAGCTTTTCTCTTGCAGCAGGAAGGCAGGAGACAGGGAGTTGTTTCCAAGGGGTTTGCAGTGATGCTGGTACTAGGCTTTTTTTAATAATTAACATTGATTTATTTTATATTTATAGAAATGGCAGAAGTGCTGGCAGGTGCTCTCCCTCCATCCGTGGTGTCAGAGCATGGCTGGGGCTGGGAGATGCTCCAGGTGGGACAATCCACTTGCTCCAGGTCACTGGAAATCTTCCAGCAGCTCATTCATTCCTTGGATACCTTGCTCTGGTGTGACCAGGGACACCATGGATGCCTTCTTCCAAAAGAAATCCATTTTTTTCCCATCTTTGTTGGCTTGCTGAGAGCAGAGCCGTGCAGGAAGCAATAAATGTGGCTTAAGATACAAGGTTTAACCAATTAATTCCAATGCATTTGTGACAGGTATTGATCAAAGGTAACATTTATAACCAGGCCCTGCTTTGTCAAGGTTAGATCTTGCTCAGGAAACAGCCTTTGATACACCGAGGAATTGATTGCAGGTTGGAGCAGCCCGGTCTGTGAGGAGGGTGTGGGAGGAGGAAGGAGCTGAGTCTTCCTCGTGGGATCTGAGCATCCCTTTTTGGGTTCTCTGGTCACTTCCACGAACCCTGAGGTGCAAGGGAGGCTCTGCAGCCCGTGGGGGCTGCAGGAAGGGTAATTAACAGCTAATTGAGTGTGGTGGTTAATTACCTGATGGTTCAGAGGTCACCTGGTTCCATGCTGTCTGTCCCTGGTGGGTCTGTCCCTGTGCCCAGCAGCCAGGATGGGTTTTGGGCTGTTCCCACTGCCCAGGCAGGGGGAGCAGCTCGGGCAGGGCAGTCCCAAGGCACAATCCCTGTGCTGTCAATGACCTTCAGCATCTCCTTGGCCTCTGGAAGGGTTTGTTTTGTGTCTGGCCAAGGCTCTGCCTCGAGGATGGTGGGTGCTCAAGGCCTCTGCAGTGCTTTTATTGCCGCTTGTCCCTGACCAGATCCTTCCCTGACAAACAGCAGAGATCCCATAATTGCTGTCCAGAGTGGGGGGAACAAATACTTCTCTGTCCTCGTGGTTTCCCTCAGCCTTGAAACTCGGGGGGCTTAAGCCAGGTTGGATTTCTCCTCTTCCTCCCCCAGAATGTGCTTTAAGGATGTCACTTTGCAGCAACCCCCCCTTCTCTGCTGCTCTCCTGCTCCCTTGGGCTTTGCAATAGAGCAGCAATACCATGCTCAGAGCCCTAAAGATAAATAATAGCTGAGCCTTTCCTGGGTTTTTAGAGCTGGGATGGGGGGGTGTGTGCTGCAAGGAAGGTCAGGTGGCTGTCCCGTGCCTCAGTTTCTCTGGCTGCTGTCCTGGGAAGGTGGGAGGGCTCTCCAGGAGCACAGAGGGGACTTTCTGGCCAATTTTGGCTTTAAGGAGAGTGCCCAGGGCAGGGAGGTGTGAAAAGAGCTGTCACAGTGCTGTGAAGAAAATACAGTGGTGCTTTTGCTGGGCTGTATGAGCAGTTTAAGCTCTGCAGAAAGCAGGGGCTGTGCTCAGGTTGGGTTTTTCCCTCTCTCCTGCTCAGGGTCCTGGTGGGCAGTGCCAATGGGGATTTCCTGGCTGGCAGTAATTCCCCAGGTGGGTTTGTGCCACCCTGGCTCTGCCAAATGCCAGATTTCTGTCCCTGCCAGGCCCGTGGGGCTCAGCCTGGGCTGTGCCCAGCTGAGCTGGGATTCGGCTGGTGTGGCTGCAGATCTTGGGTCACCTGGAGCTGTGTGAGCTGTGTGAGCTGAGCAGGGCTGTTCCTGCTCCTGTCCCTGCTCCTGTTCCCTGTCCCTGCTCCTGTCCCCTGTTCCTGTCCCCTGTCCCTGTTCCTGTCCCCTGTCCTGTCCCCTGTCCCTGTCCCTGTTCCCGCTCCCGCTCCCACAGCCCGGCCTGGGGCGTGCTGCGGCCTCCTCCGCTGCTCCAGGCCTCATAAACCCGGGCTGGGATAAAGCCCAGCCCCTACCGGCTGAGTTTGGGAGCTGGGCAGCGCTGGGGGCAGGCGCAGGCATTAATCTGCCCCTGCAGAAGAGGATTCCTGGGGATTAGGGGCCGGAGTGGCCGCGGGGCTCTGCCAGCCCTGCAGGAAGGCCGCAGCGAGGGCGCTGCCGGGAGAAGAGGCCACACCGAGCTGTGACATCGGGGACTGCTCTCCTGGTGCTCTCCTGGTGCTTGTGGAGCGGCCTGGGACCCCCAGCTCGGAGCTCTCGGTGCGTTCTCATCCCATCTGCTGGGGCATGGTGCGGGTGCTGGGCTGGGAAGGGCTCGGGGCAGGGCTGGGAGCAGCCCTGGCTGTCTCCCCACTCACCCAGGACAGCCTCAGTTTTCTGTTCTACTCAGGGTGGGTTTGTGCTGCTTGCCATGGACCTGTGATCACCCCTTACCTTTTCAGGGCATCTCAGACCTTCACTGCTGCACGATTAGGCGGGGTTTGCTTTAAGTAAAATAATTTTTCCAGGTGGAGATGACACAGGAGGCAGGATCTGGGGGTGTCAGGCAGAAGCTGGGGCTCAGCTCTGCCCCCCGAGCTGTGTGTGAGAGCTGCTGGGGCTCCATGGCAGCAGCTCCAGCCCAAAACACAGCCCTGGGGCTGCTGCAGGAGGGGAGGGAAGCACCTCTGTGCAGGGGAGCCTGCCCTGGGCAGGCTGAGCTCAAGGACAGGCAGGCTGGGTTTAGGACAGGCTGGGTTTGGGACAGGCACAGCTCAGAGGAAGGCAGAGACATTGCTCTAATGAGCTGTCACAGCAGTGACAGCAGTGTCTCCTCCTCCCCCGCGCCAGCCTGCAGCAAGAAGGGAAAAACTAAAAGTGCCTTGACGTGAGGAGGGACTGAGTGAGGTAGCAGGGACCTCTGCAGGTTTGGCTCATGGGTGATGATGGAAATTGGAAATTAAGTGAGGAAAACCTATCCTGGGATGTTTAATTGCTGGGAAAGCGCAGGGAGCAGAGAAGGATTGGAAAAGAGCAGCATGGCTCTGGAGCAGCCTGGGAGGACAGCTCCCAGCTCTGGGGAGATGTGATGATGGCTCAGCCAGACCCAGCTGAGCAGGAGCCTGGCTCCAGTGCCTGGGAAGAAATGTGGAGGAACATTTATCCCTGGATAGTATGGGCCAGAAGGTACCCACAGCTCTGGGTGTGATTCTCTCCATCTGGCAGGGGGGACACAGCTCTGAATCTCTCTCATGGTCACAGAGCGCTGTGGAAATAAATAAATGAACCCCACCCTAGTGCTCTATTCACTGTACATCTCTGTACATCTCATTACGCTGTTGTACTGTTATTAAATCTTAATTAAAAGCAGCTTCAGACTTGCCAATCAGTGGAATGAAAGGGTCTGTAATCCCTCAGTTTTCTTTCACAGCTGTGATGCTGTTTGTTAGAATTTTTCTCCTTCATTTGCTTTAGGTAGCAAAAGTAATTGGGGTGACTCTGGTACTTTTCCAGTTGGTTTCTTGGTGCAGTTCTGTGTTCAAGCATGAGCTCAGTCAGCAGGACACAAGTACCTGTGATGAATGGCAGGTTAGATTAAAAATTACCTAATGGCTTCTTCTAGCTTTAATCTATCTGAACTAAATGTGCCTGAAGTTAATGGGATGGTTTGCCAAATAAAGCCCTCCTTGACTCTTTCCTTTTTCTCCCTCCTCTTTAGAGTCCCTTAACATTTTTATATCAATTAGTTCTGTAAAACCATTTTACCAGGACTGAATGTGAATGCAGGGCACTCACAGTGTATGCACAAAGAGCATTTAACCCTTTCTGGGGAGAACTGGTGGTTTCTGAACACAGCAACCCCATCCCATAAATGTGAGGCATCCTTTCAGACTGGGAGCACCTGGCTGCCCATTTCCAAGCATCCAGAGATGATGGTGTGCTACAGAGATGCTGGAAGTGTCCCACGCCAGGCTGGACAGGATTTGGAGCAACCTGGGATAGTGGAAGGTGTCCCTGCCCATGGCAGGGGGGTGGAACTGAATGATCTTTAAGGTCCCTTCCAACCCAAACAATTCTTATTTCAGATTTCCATCGCCAGGACTTGCACTGGCCTCGTCTGTATTGCTGTTGGTCACTCTCAAACTGTTTGTGAAAGATGGAAAACCAGCTTTTTTCTCATTTTTTCTTTCTTCCTTGTGCATGTGGTGTGCTCAAAGTGGGATGAGCATCACTTGAGCGACTTAATGGATGCTCTCAAAAAAACTCTGCCAGCTCTGTAGCTCAGAGAGTTGCTTTTCAAAAGTCTCTTGCAAACTTGCCCGCAGTTGATGTTTCTTTGAAGAGTCTGTGATGACTCTTTATCTGTAGATGGTTGAAGCACGTTCAGCCCTGCCTGGATGTCAGCAGTGCTCAGCACCTGGTTTTCAAAGAGAATTTGTTAGCACAAGTGCAGCCTGAGAGATGAAAGGATCTGTGCTGAGCCTCGTTGGAGGCAGTGAGACACCAGACAGGGAAAGAAAGGTTTTGAGAGAGGTTTGATTTCCCTGGCCAGTTGTGTCAGAGTAGCTTTTCTCCCAGGGGGAAAGTCCCTTCTCCTGGAGTAGCTGGAGGCTGACTGGGAGCAGAGGATGGGCAGCTCCAGCCCCAGTGGCTGCCTGGACCATGGTGGGGCATCTGATACAACCTCCCTGCTCCAGCAGGGCCATCCCAGAGCAAATCACATCCCTTGTTTCCTCTGCTCCTTCGTCTGTGTCCCCACTGAAGGGCTGGACTGAGCAGGGAAAGGTTTCTCCAAGTGCTGGAAGTGGCAGCTGGAGATGGCAGCGGAGCTGTGAAACCTCCTGTGTCCCTCTGGGCTGTCAGTGAGCTCGTGTGTCCTTTCCTGTCCATGGTGATGGGCCCCTCTTCCCTCCAGCCAGCTCTCCTGGCACGGCTCCTGCTCTGGGAGACTCCTCCCAGCCCCCTGTGCTCGTGTTTCTCATTTTTGAACATCTTTGGCATTGCCTGGTTCGCACTCTCGCACCAATTCGTGCTCCTTTTGCTCCTTTCTCCTCCTTTGCAGGAACGAGGCCCCATCTCTGGAGCAGTTCAGAACCTTCCAGCAGCCCTTCATACTGCTGTGAATTTTCTAAATGCCAGTCTTGCAGATTTCCCCCCCTTTGACTGTTCTTTTTAGTGTGTGCTCCGATGGTGAAAAGGAATACATTTTTCCACTCCTCTCAGCACATCATCAGCAAGGTTTCCTGCATGGCAAAGTGCAGGCAGCCCCAGGAGGGCACAGGGAGGCAGGATTCAGTGCCAGGGGCACCTTTGTTCAGGCAGGGATGTTGTCAGCTCAGGGCTCCCCGGGGATCCTGACGCTGCTGGGATGGATCGATCTGAACCCGTCCCCTTCTCTCCCGGTGCTGGGGAGCAATAATCATCATTCTTGTGTTCCTGCTGTGCCTTCCCTGAGCTGGGAACCGGGCAGGAGAGCCAGGAGAGCAGCTCCTGAGCCACAGCTGCACCCTGGGCTGATGCTGGCTTGTGCTTTGTGAAAGCTGCTGGGCTCTGGGAAAGGTAAAGCAGCAAAGCTGCAGCTCCCTGCTCAGGGCCTTGGCTCAGCCACTGGAAACACTGGGAATCATTCACCAGGCAGAGCCACTTGCCCCAGAACGCTTCCAGTGAATGTGTTTGGGGTGCAGGGAGGGGTCTGTCCCTCTGCAGGGCAGGAGCTCGGAGCTGCCTTCATGTGCAGCCACTTCCAGCAGATTCCTGCGCTGGGCCTCGCTCCTCCTTTTATGAAAAGCTGGGAATTGCAGTCCCTGGAATGCAGGGAGGAGTGGGAAGGCTGGCAGGAGCAGGGCTTTATTGCACCCTCTGAAATGTCACTGTCAGTGACGCCGCTGCGGGCGACGGCGTCCGAGTGATTTGGTGGAGGTTTGGAGGCAGAGTCCATCTCCCCGAGGAACCAGACATCATGTGGCTCCTGCCTGGCGCTGGGAGCTGGCCCTGTCACTGCTGGGACACATCAGGGAGGAGATGCTGCCTCTCATTAGTGTCAGGGGTGAAGGGCATCCTCGGGAGATGTGGTGGCGGCTGCTCCCGGCCTTTCCTTGGCTTTGTGTCACCCAGCCTGACAAAAGGTTGGGATATTTGGAGTAATTCTTGGTCGTGGCTAGCGAGGAATTGTCAGGCACATCCTTTGCCAGTGTGGCAGGCTCACAGCCTGGTGCCAGGGCAGGATTTATTTGTATTTTGCCAGCACCGCTCACCTTGAGCGGGATTGCCCAGGGTGATGGACGAGCACTGAGCGTGTCCTCAAGTTCAATAACTTAAAGGCTGAAGCTCTTAGCTTCTCCTGGATATTGATATCTCCTTTTTCTTGATTAGCATCACAGTGATTCCTCCCCAGTGCCTGCTTTTCAGCCCTGGGGTGTGTTTCTCAGGATGTGGCTGGATAAGCTGTTCCACAGGGAGAGGGGGCTGCTGCCTGTTTCCATCCTTCCTGCTGCCTGTTTCCATCCTTCCTGCTGCCTGTTTCCATCCTTCCTGCTGCCTGTTTCCTTCCTTCCCGCTGGCTGTTTCCATCCTTCCTGCTGGCTGTTTTTCCCCTTCCTGCTGGCTGTTTTTCCCCTTCCTGCTGGCTGTTTTTTCCCCTCCTGCTGGCTGTTTCCATCCTTCCTGTTGGCTGTTTTTCCCCTCCTGCTGGCTGTTTTTTCCCTTACTGCTGGCTGTTTTTTCCACTTCCTGATGTCTGTTTTTTCCCCTCCTGCTGGCTGTTTTTTCCACTTGCTGATGTCTGTTTTTTCCTCTCCTGGTGGCTGTTTTTTCCCCTCCTGGTGGCTGTTTTTTCCCCTTCCTGCTGCCTGTTTCCATCCTTCCTGCTGGCTGTTTTTTCCCTTCCTGCAGGCTGTTTTTTCCCCTCCTGATGGCTGTTTCCCTGCTGCCTCTCTCTCTCCCCTAGAAGCTGGCAGCTGAGTGCCAGAGTGCCGGCTACCCGGGCACGCTGATCCCGTACAAGTGTGACCTGTCCAACGAGGAGGAGATCCTGTCCATGTTCTCGGCCATCAAGACCCTTCACCAGGGTGTGGACGTCTGCATCAACAACGCGGGGCTGGCCCGGCCCGAGCCCCTGCTCTCGGGGAAGACAGAGGGCTGGAGGACCATGATAGATGTGAGTATTCCCCAGAGGGAGCAGGAGCTGGGCCACTTTTCTGTCTCTTCTGGCCACCATCCACTCATTTCAGAGCTGAAATCATTTCAGCCTGCTCTGACGAAGCCTAGCTTTGCTGTTTGGGGAGTGGAAGGACGTCCTGCCCTGCTGCTGAGCCCTCACCTTGGAGGATGGAGACACAGCAGCATTTTTCCTTTAGCTGTCTGGCTTTCTGGAGGGTGAAGAGCCTTGCTTCTCTTTTTCTTCAATAAAGCAGGAAACTGAATGCCAGGCACTGGGTTTTGCAGCTAATCCTGTTAGTTGTGGCAGTGGGTTGTAGAAATGGGCAGATTCTTTTTGGCTTAAAAAGCTGTAATGCTTTTTGTCTTTATAGCTTAATTTTCTGGCCCTAATCTGGTTAGGGCTGGATGTGAATGAGAGCATTTCTTGTGCTGAAATGGGAGCTGAAATGCACATGGCCCATCCCATTCACAACTTCTCCCTGGGTCCTGCTGTTCTGAGGTGCTGTTGGGCATCTTCCTGTGCCTTCACCATTTTTTGTCATAATTTGGGGGCCTTTTTCTGAACACTGCAGTGGCAGCCACAGCTGTGGGACCTCAGGATGGTTTGGGTGTCCTTAAAATGTCTCTGGCCAGTGAGGCACTGGACCAGGAGCTTTTTATGGAGTGATTTCCCCTCCTGTGCCACCTCCTCTAATGCACGGAAACGTTTCCCTCGCAGGAGGAGGAGTGGAGCTCAGGGCTGTGAGTAGTCCTTGTGGCACCTCCATCAGCTCTGAGAGCTTGTCCTGGTGAAGGGAAGGACATGTCTGAAAAGCTTTTTGAAGCTGTGGGCTAAGGGCCCCCGTGTCCAGCAGTGGAGCCAGCTGGGAGGTGTCAGCTCCCCTGGCTGTTCCTCCAGGCTGCTCCTGGGGGCCGTGTAAAGCAAAACAGAGAAGCACATTGAGACTTCAGACTCCTGCTGCCAGGGCAGGAGCTGCCATATCCTGGCTAATTAAGTTCTTGTTAGGATTTTGGCCTGGCTGCTGGCTTCTGTGACTGCAGCCAAAGCAAGCTCAGCTCAGCTTTGTCTGCCCAGGCAGGCTTTTGTGGGCTGCCCAGCCTGGGTCACTGCACAGCCACATCTCCCCGGCCCCGGTTGCCATGGAGGCTTTAAAGAAAATGAAGTGAAGTGTAGCTGAGGCTGAGCTGGTGTTCAGCAGGGTCCTGGCTCGCTGTGAGCTGGGCCCTGGGGGTCACCTGGGCCTTGGAAACTCCTTGTCCTGGTCCCTGGGACCGTGTCGTGTGTGGATCCCTCAGGGATGCTGCGTGTCCCTTGTGCTCCTTTGTTTTGTCAGGTGGGCAGGCTGGGGGACTTGTGGCTTTTCCCAGCTTCCCCAGTCCATATTCCCTTCCCTGGCTGCTCAGCTGGAAGTGCTCCCTTTATCTGACCTTCCACCTTTTTAGGGAGAAAGATTTTGAGGTGGGGGTTGTCCTGTGTGAGACACTCCAGTGTTGGTGCTTGCAGTGGCTCAAAGTCTGGGAGCCTGTGGGGTCCCCCTGCTTTTGGGGGATGTTTTGGGGTGGGATGGGTGACCCCACAAGGGCAGTGTTAGGAAACCAGGCTGGGGGAATGTTTTATTCCCAGTGATGATTCGTACGGCTCTCTCCGCTCTCACTGCTTGGCAAAAACGCTGTTGCAGCAGCCTGAGACACCCAAGCTTTCTCCCTGTGCTGGCAGATATTTCCCTCTCACCATCCTCCCAGCAGCTGCTGGCTTGGCTCCTGGTTTCTGTGTTAATTGAACAAGGCTCAAACATAAAGGCAAAGCCCTGGGATGCTCCAGAGCCCAATGCCTCACCCATCCCAGCCTGGGCAGCCCGGCAAGCCTGGGTATTTTATTTTATTTTATTTTATTTTATTTTATTTTATTTTATTTTATTTTATTTTATTTTATTTTATTTTATTTTATTTTATTTTATTTTATTTTATTTTATTTTATTTTATTTTATTTTATTTTTTTATTTATTTTTTTTATTTTTTACTGCTGATGGCTAGAAACAGCTCAGTGGACTTTCCCCTTCTGTTCTGTGCCCTGTTTTGTGGCTGCATGGCAGTGCCTGCTGGCCATGTCGCTGTCTCCAGGCTGTGCAGGGCTGGGGGGCTCTGCAGGGCCAGAACCCCCTGCCAGGGCACCCATCCCCAGGGCAGCCCTGGCCAGGCCCCTTCCATCACAGGGAGGGCTGCCAGCACCTTTCACGGGCCACTGGGCTTTGCAGAGCTGTGTGGCAGCAGGGAGGATTCTTCCCAAGCTTCCTTGGAGAGCAGGGAGATGCTGTTGGAGACTTCCAGGGCACCTCTGGGCTGCAGGATGGGAAAAGTTTCCAAACAGCCATGGAGCCATCGATTTAGGAGGCATTAGGGCCTTAAATTAAAGGCTGTTTTTTTCCTTTTTGATAAATTGATTTTTGCTTCCATGCATTTTTTATGAGCTTTGAGGCTCCGTGTCCTTCCAGATTCCCCTCTCAGTATCCTCCTTCTTGCTCTATCTCTAGCAGCCAAAACCATGTTATAATTTACTTATTTCTCTCCTTTCCTAATGTTCCGGTTCTTTATTGTCTGCTATTTATTCCCAAGGTGGGAGCTGCTTCTCCCCAGGCTGCAGGATGTTTGGAATTGTGGATGTGCTGCTTTACAGAGCCCTGCCTTGCCAGCCAGCAGATCTGCCGTGGGTGCAGGAGGGAAGGTGTCACCTCAGGCAGGTTCTGAGCCCATCCTCCCCTGGCTCACAGCTTCTTCCCCCGTTTTCTCACTGCTCTGTGAGGCTGGAGCAAAGTCCTGCTCTGCCGGAGGAGCTGGGGCTGGCTGCTGTGTACACACCGAGCCTCTGGGGCTGCAGCAGCTCCTTCACGCTTTACCCACTGACCTTTCCAGCCAGGAATTCAAACTGAACTTCCCATTTTCCCTGCTCAGGGCACAGAGGGCTGCAGCACACATCCTTTAAACACAGAATGGGTTTGGTTCTTGGCATTATTCACTGACAAGCCAGGCTCTGTTCTTCTTGCTTTTCTGAGCCATCTGTGCAGGGATATGTTTGCTGTAAGCTGCGTTTCCATATGTGCTCTGGGGCTGGGGCACTTGTTTGGATGCCTTGGAAAAGGCTGATTCTGGGAAAGTGAAATGCTGAGCACTTCTAGGAACAGGATCTTTTATGTTCTCTGATCTGGCAGTCGGAGCTCGTTAATTGCTGGGAAATGTGGCACCGTGGTTTCTGTCACAGAGCTGCTGCCTGTGCACTGAGCAGGGCCCAGGTGTGCTGGCCATCCTTGCCAAGGGACCTTTGAACCTTTTCTCCTTAAAATAGGAGGGAGGCAGAAAAACATCTGATGTGGATATTTGTAACAGTAGCCTCTGGGTGATGCACTTGCTCATTTTCCAGGCGTGTTTTTAGGTTCCTCAATGCCTGTTCCACGTTTTGAAATGGGATTTCACCCCAAAAACCAGTCTGTGCTGGTGGGAAAGGGCCATCCCAGCTCAGCTGCCTTCCAGCCAGTTGTTTTGTTGTACTGTGGCGTTTTATCACAGGGCTCTGGACTTTCCCATGTGGTTGTTGATTGGGATCTTGCTTTGCCAGGAACTGTCAAAGTCTTGTAACTTTGCCCAGGCCGGGAATGGCTGCTCTGTGAGTCACAGGCTTTGGGGTGATGTTACCCTCTAGTGGCCTTTGGAGAGGGAGTTGGGGTGACTGCTCCAAAAACGAGCTGCCTGGTGGGCTGGGGCATCCTGAGGCGGGGATCTTGTTTGGCATGAAGGGTTTTACCCCAGCAGTTCCCAAATCCATATCCCAAAGGACTGGGTCAGGCTGGAGTGGGTGACTCCTGCTTTCCCTGACACCCTGCTGAGGAATCCCAGAGCCTGCCCGTGCCCTCCCTGCTCTGGGCTTCAGTGCTGAGGGGCCCTTCTGCTGCTTTCTCTGCTCATTTTCTTCCTCACACAGCCCAGGTGAATTTAGGTTAAAGATTTATCTCTGCAGCTCCAGGTGTGATGGCCGAGGTGCCCAGCAGTGACTCCGTTCTTGACCAAAGTGCACTTGCATGGGGGTGATGACTCCACTTGTGTTGCCTGGGTACTCCCAGGACCAGATAAATGCCCTTTTTATCTCTGGCCAAGACAGAGCCCTCAGGGATGGCCTCTGGGGAATAAAAACACCAGACAAAAGCAGTGAGCAAGATCCTAGAGCTGACCCCGCTCCTCTTTGTGCTGCTCCATAATTGCATCTCTCTGCTCCATCTCTTTCCAAACCAGTGTCTCTCTCCTGCCTGTCCTTTTGTGCCATCAAGTCCAACTTTTTCTTCCCCATTCTTGTTTGTTATTTTCCCAGTGCTGATCCCAGCCCTCTCCCATCTCCATCCCTCACTGTTGGCCTCATTCCTGCTGCTCCACCCATTTATAGTGGCACCTGCCTTCTGATTCATCGGGAAATCAGTTCTTCCCGGAGATTTCACCCACTGCTGTGTGTTCAGACCCTTCTGGGTTGCTCATTTAGCTGGCAAAGTGACCCAGTGTTAGCCAGGACCTGCCAGGGGATGGTCACATCCTTTCTGGAGGCCTTCAGCAAAACCCCTTCCAGATCTCAGCCACTTGAGCCATCAGCACTGCTGCTGAGATTCTTTCTCATCAGTCCTGCAGGTACCTCTGGGCCCTTTGTATTCCAGCTGGGAGAATTTCCTTCTCTTTATCTTCCCAGCAGCTTTGACTCTGTTTTATGGTCAGGGAATGCAGCCGTGCATTGATGCTTGTGGAGGCGATAGGACCGAGTTTAACCAAGCCAGGGCAGTGGGAAGTGCTGGTCCAAAGAGCAAGAGCCTGGAATGCTTTGGATCCCAAAGGGCTGGGTAAATTGCCACTGAGGGCTGAGGAAAATGTCAGCAGGCAGTGACAGGTCGGTGGCTTCCACACCCCCAGGGTGAGTTGCCCACTCTGGTGCTCCCTGTGGCACAAAGTGATCTTTGCTTCCTGTGCCTGGCCGCTCTTTTGGTGCCTCCTCTGGTGCTCTGACAGGCAGGACCTGGGGATTTCCTCATTCAGGACTGACCTAATTACCTGCTCTTAGTGCCCTGCCAGCTGCCCAAAGGCCAGAGTACTCAGTGCTGGACAGAGCCAGCTCTGTCTCCTGCCCACCGTGCTGCCTGTGGGGACACAGGCTCTCCTGCCTTTGGGCTTCACCCTCACACTTGGCCCTAAAACAACCAACTCCATTTATTTCTGTTCTCTCTGGGTGTCTGCCCCTGTGGCTGCAGCCCCCAGCTCAAGTGTGGGGTTTGAGGAGGAGCAATTCCCTCTTTGGGTTTTCCTGGGAATTCCCAGGAAATTGCCCAGGGACAGGAACTGATATCCCAGATTTTGGGCACACGAGGGGCAAATCAAGGGGTGCCAGGCAGAGCTGCTGGCCTTAATTTCTTCTTCTTTTCTCCCCCCTCAGGTGAATGTGATGGCTGTGAGCATCTGCACCCGGGAGGCCTATCAGTCCATGAAGGAGAGAAACATTGATGATGGGCACATAATTAACATTAACAGGTGAACAAGGGGTGTGGGATCAGCCTCAGGGGCTTCCTGCTCTTCCCTGCAGCACAGAGAGGATTTAAGCACTGGGTGGGGGCAGCCCTGGGGACTTCCTTCCTCTTCCTCCTCCTCCTCCCGCCCCTCCCTGCCTTGCACTGGAGTTTCAAGCTTGCTGTGGTGCTGATGGGGTTTTTTAAGGATTGTGGTGGTTGATACTTCAAACTTAATCTTTGCTGGTCTAAAGCAAGCAAGGCCAAACCAGGGAGAAAAGAGTAATCCAGATCAGGGAGAAAAGGATGATATCAACCACTCCTGATGGGGCAGGGCTGAAGATTGATTTCTGGAGCTGGTCAGGAAGTTTTGGCTGTGTGGAGAGGAGCCTGTGGCGGTGCCTGTTCCCTGTGCCAGCCCCTCCCTGCATTTGTTGTGATGCTCTGAGTGTCCTGTGGGTCCCTCCCAGCTGCCAGCAGTGTCCCCTGTGTAACTTTTTTAATCTGTTTTTTGTCTCTTGATTCTGCTGCACTTCCTCTGCACTTCACTCCTGGATTTCTCAGCTTCTCTGAGCTGAGCTCCTTGAGGATACTCCTTCATGGGGAGTTCTGCTTATTTCAGTTCTCTGGGTTCGAAGAAAACTCCAAAGCCCGTTAGGATCTTGTTTCTCATGTTTATTAGGATGTTATTACAAAACTTGGCAGGTCTCTCCAGACTTTCTGCACAAGTTTAATTCACTACAACTTGGCTCACTTTGGTTCTGAAGGCACAAAATGGCCCCAAACTGTGCAGTCTTTTTATCTTTATACTTATTCCTATCCAATTAACAATAGACACATAAATTATTTTTCTTAATGACCCAATGACCCATCACTTGTGTACTTCATTGCTGCATTTTCTATCCAATCACTCATTACTACCCAAAAACCTCTAGAATAACATGAAGAAGAAAAAAGAAGGAAAAGAGACATCACTCTAAATCTTCCATCTTTTCTGCTCTCTAAATTAGTTTAAACTAACTTTTCCACGCAGTGACTTCAGAAAACTCTCTAATCTACACACTCACGCTTTTAGCTTTTCTATCTAACTTCAACGGTTGTTTTCATGTAACACCATGAAAGCACGCCCATAAATTCCATGTTGTATGAAATTCAGTGTTCTCCTGGGTCTCAGAGCCAGGCACCAGAGAGGAGGGCACACACTCTGTGTCTCAGACTGCACCACCCTGTGCTCTGTCCCCAGCATGAACGGGCACAGTGTGGTGCCCCAGTCCGTGGTGCACTTTTACAGCGCCACCAAGTACGCGGTGACGGCGCTGACCGAGGGGCTGCGGCAGGAGCTGCGCGAGGCCAGGACCCACATCCGAGCCACAGTGAGTGCTGGGTGCTCCCTGCTTCCCTCTGCCCTGCTGCCATTCCCTGCTGCCATTCCCTGGGACACAGCTTTTCCCTCTGGGGAAGAGCCAGGGGGGTGCAGAACCGCGCTGGGAATGGTCAGGGAGTCCTGGGGGAAAGGGTGGCTCTCTTTGCCAGGCTGAGGCACAGAAGGTCTGGGATGGGATTTTTTGGGTGCACTCAGTGGGCAGCTGCTTGTTGGGGAGGGTCACATCAGCAGAGGGAAGGACTCAGCTGGGCTTTTTGTGCTCAGTCAGAGCTTTATCATATTTTCCTTTGCTTCTCTGTCCCTCTGGGGTGTGGGAAGTACCCACCAGAGGTACCTGCCACAGCAATCATTAAGTTGCTCACTTCAACTGTTCCCTTAAAAAATGGGTGGGAAAGGAAAATAAGAGAAAAACTACTTTTTTATTTTTATTTTTATTTTTATTTTATTTTTATTTTATTTTTATTTTATTTTTATTTTATTTTTATTTTATTTATTTTTATTTTAATTTTATTCTTTTACTGGAAGGGAATTACAAATCCTATTAGGATGTGCTCTGCTTTATTCCAGTGTATATCTCCAGGACTGGTGGAAACAGGATTTGCTTTTAAACTTCATGATAACGACCCTGAGAGGGCTGCTGCAACCTATGAGAGCATTCGGGTAGGACTTGGAGGAATGGAAACAGAGGGAAGTGGCTCTGATTGTAATGGAACAATCTTCTGGCTAATGGTTCCAGAGAGTGCCCAGTGCACTCCAATGTCAGCCCTCAAACCTCAGATTTTCCACTGGTATTTGCACACTGTGTAGGTTTTCATTTGGGTTCAGCTTCCAGCTCCTTACAGTTTTCCTTTTATTTTGATGCTTCTGTAAATAAGTGTCGGTCAGCTTTGCCATTTTGCAGGCTGTGACTTCTTCATTGCAGAGAAGATGTGACAAGCAGAGGTGCCAGCAGCAGCAGAAGTGTTGTCTTGCAGGTGGCAGGGGATTTCCTGTGGGAACTCCTGATGAGGATGGCGTTGCCTGACCTGGCAGAATTGCTGTGCCAGCAGTGAGATTATTCACAGCAGTCAAAGAATTATCAGCACCAGGCACATCCTTTGTTCGGTTTTTAATGGATTGGGTATTTCCTGCTTGCTTGCACCTCCTGGACATGCCCCAGTGACCCTGTCTGGCCTCATTATGGATGGGCAGGAGAGGAGGGATCTCGTGGGGAACTTTGGTGGTGCCCTTTGACCAGAGCCCCTTTGCTGTCATTGCAGTGTCTCAAGGCTGAAGATATGGCCAATGCTGTCATCTATGTCCTCAGTGCCCCTCCTCATGTACAGGTGGGCTGGGGCTGGGGCTGGGGCTGGGGGGGCTGAGGGCT